GAAAGAGCGACTTCAACATATAGACTTTATCTTGGTCTAACCCCAGGTAAAGGCTTCCGAATCCACTCTCAGTTTTTTCTTCATGTTTGATAACGATAACTGGGAAATTTGTAGTAATCTTGTGGGGAAATTTCATTTTTGTTTGGAATCTCTGCGATTTGATTTTATTACTTTCTTACCTGGTGAAATTTCAGAAACAAAGAGAGAAAAAAAAGAGAAATAATTGCTATAGCCTGACTCATGTGGTGGTTGTGAAATCATCTGAGAAGATACGGTCTGGCTTCTAGTCCTTGGCCCTTGGGACTTTTGTTGTTGATTATTAATATTATTTTTTAGGTAGTATTCTTAAATCCAACAGAAACGTGCGGTGGGGCTGGAAGCAGTGGCATGATTTGAGATAAAATAGCTTTTGTTTCCCATTTATTATGTCTCCAAAAGCACTAAATTTTTCTAGGGACCTCTCTGGTCTCGCACACTGCCTTAAGCAATGGTTTTTATTTTTTTGTTATTATTTTTTAAATGGTACAGCTCTGGCCGGCGATATGAGTAAATTGTTGTTGGTGGCAAGAAAAATCAGAAGAGCAACAAGTACAGAATTTTTGATATCCTTGTCTGCAGATGACTTCTCCCGAACAAGCAATAGTTACATTGGAAAACTAAGGTAGGTTACCCGCATAGAATATTTATCATGCAAGAGCTCTTTTTATTTTTATTGTTGTTTTTTCATCTGTCATGACATCTATTGGCAATTGTTCAACAGGTCTAATTTCTTGGGCACGAAGTTTACCATTTATGACAGTCAACCATCATGTGACCCTGTGATCCAAACAAATTGTAGGTCACGGAGAAGAATTCATTTGAAGCAGGTGTCTCCACGGGTACCTGCTGGTAATTACAGTGTTGCAACGATCTCATATGAACTCAATGTCCTGCGTACAAGGGGTCCAAGGAGAATGCAGTGCACTATGCACTCGATCCCAATATCTTCAGTTCAAGAAGGGGGAGTTGCGCCAACTCCAACAGAGTTCACAAATTGCCTCGACGAGCATTGTTCTTCCTCACCATCATCAGTTTCGAATGGAAAAAAGCCGCTTGTTGAGTTTAGCTCCGCTAACCTTGGTGACTCCATGGAATTGGTCCACTGCACAAGGGATCCACTTGTTTTGAAAAACAAAGCTCCAAGATGGCACGAGCAGCTGCAATGCTGGTGCTTAAATTTTAAGGGACGTGTTACAGTGGCTTCTGTGAAGAATTTCCAATTGGTGGCAGCTGCGGAGCCTTGCCAAAATATTTCAGCGGCTGAGCAAGAGAAAGTGATACTGCAATTTGGGAAGATCGGTAAAGACATTTTCACAATGGATTATCGCTATCCTCTATCTGCTTTCCAAGCCTTTGCAATCTGCCTAAGTAGCTTTGACACGAAACCAGCCTGCGAATGACCATTCACATCGGCCGTCCATAAAAGTTGAACTGTATATATACTTTTGAAGCTAAGCACTGTATGCCTTTGCCCTTTGTCTTGAGCAAAAGGGTCTTCGTAGGTCTGGAACGAGTTTGTATGGCTGTATCAGATAAAGAGTGATGTAAGATTTTCAATTTATTTATTTGCACTAAGAAGCTCAGTGTCTTTTTGATCCGAATATGTAAACATTATTTCCAGGAATTATAAGGCTCAATTTAAGTGGCTTCTGAAAAACTGTTGATCTTTTCCAATGAGGAGGGGAGATTACTTGTTCTATCCTGATGCTCAATGCAATTCTACAGTTGCATATTTTCTTTACAACACAAGAAGTATAAGCAAGATGAGAATCAAAGGATCACCTTGATCAATTTTATGACATCATTTTGTTTTGACTGGGAACGCACCACGCATTCATTCTTATTGTAAAATTTGTATACATATTTCATTTACCTCCATATTGTCAGACGTCAGACAATACAAAGCTTATTAGATTACATGATTTCTTTATCTTTGCTTCTCTCCCCACAGCTATAGCGGCAGCCATGGCGACGAGGCTTGTCAGGATTATCAGAGTCCGAGTCACTTGATTCCAAGAAAAGCCCTCTGAGGCATCGTCGTCTTACATTGGGTTGATGAGTAAGCTTCTCAGAAGGGGTTGGGATGAACTCAGCTTTGCGGGTCTGGACGAACTCCGGTTTTTCATTTGACTTGATGGTTTCTGGGGTGTTTTGAGTAGAGGACAAATAAACACCGGGACTCCTTTCTGTAACTGAAGCTTCGAAGACAATGGAGTTGTTGACACTCTGCACATTGCTGTTAGCACAAGCTGTTGGTGCCAAGGCCATATGCTCTTTGAACCGCTTCCCATTGATGCCTACTTCTCCATCAGTAGTTGTTTCAGGGCTCTCATCAGGGTCAGTCTTGTAACCCCGATGAATGTGGATTGACCCTTCCTTTTTCACAGCTTCTAAGCTCAAGTGCATGGAAGCTCCTTTGTTATCACCAGTTAAGGTAATGACAGTGACATGCCTTTCATCCAAATGAGGTCCACTAGCTAGTGTACGAACAAGCTTAGAAATATCTTCCTTGATCTCTCTTTGTCGTGGAGCAGCTTCTTCTTCAGCAAACGGAAAAGGCTTTTGAAAAGATGTGCTTGTGTTCCCCTCTATTGGTTGTGATGGAAGGAATGACTTGAGTTGCTTCCCAATATAACTGGTGGTGGATATTGTTTCCTTTCTCTCCAAAGTCTCTTGCTTTTGATGCCTTCTTGGTGCTTTGCTTTCAACGTTATGTGTCTCTTTGGTTTCCCTTCTGGTACTTGGTGCTTCAATGAATGTCTTCTGCATTGGTTCTTTTCCATGAGTTGCCTTAGTCGTCTTTTCTTCTTTGGGAATTTCTTGAACTTTTTCCTTCCTGTCTTCAGGCTCCTCTATGTCTCCCTGCGCTTCTGGAAGAGGCTTTTGATCTGTGGCAACAAAACTCACAGATTCGACTGTAGCTTCTCTAGAAGTTATGCCTTTCACCGGGCTTGAAACTTTTGTAGTGTCCCTTTCCATTGCATCATCTTGAGAGTTGGGTTTCTCTCTAGTCTCAAATGTAATTTCCACTTTTGGTTCAGGCTCTTGCAATGACGTCTGAGATGTTGGTTTCTTTGATTCTTCTTGAGGTGCGGATATTTGGGTTTGTGCAGAAGCCAAAGAAGCACTGGAGCTATCTTGATTAATGGCTTGTGACTTATCGCGCGAAGATGGGGGTTGAGTCACAATGCCAGCTGTTGGTTCTGGTTCTAGTTGATTAGCCCTCCGAGAAGGAGAAGAAACTTCTGAAGTAGTTTTCGGAGAAGCCAAGTGAGATGGGGACTGAGGTTGAGAGGACTTTCCCGGTTCTGATTGAGCTTGAGAAGTCGTATGAGATGGGGAAGGAGGGAGGGAGCCAGCCTTATGGTTGGAGTCTCCTTTTGAAGGTGACAATGCTGCAATGGTTGCTTTGCTTTGAGTCCTTGAGTGAGTTGGCGAGACAGGTTGGGAATTGACTTGGGAGTCTGTCACTGCGTGAGATGGTGATTTGGCGGTCTTAGAAGATGGTGTAGAAGCTAACCTGGAAGGGGTTTTTGGGGATTCTGTAGTTGAACGAGGTGGTGATGGCAGTTTGGCATTTGCAGGTGGTGGTGAAGAAGTTGATTTTGAAGTGTCCTTTTGAGACTCGGGGGTTGTAGAAGATGGCAATACTTTTTTAGCAGTTGTTGCACTTGGTGAAGAAGCTGTTTGTGAGCTGGCTTTTGGGTATTCAGTTGTTTCACGAGATGGTGATTGGGGTTTACTAGTTGCAGTTGATGGTGATGAAGTTGATTGGGAAGTATCTGTTAGGGCATCAGTGGTTGCAAAAGATGGTGATGGTGGTTTAGTAGTTCCACCGAATGATGAAGTTGACTCGGAAGTGATCTTTGGAGATTCGCTAGTTGCATGAGATGGTGATGGTGGTTTAGCAGCGGGAACTGATGGTGATGTTTTTATGGCCTCAGTGACCGCACTAGATGAAGTTGGGGGGGATGATTGTGGCTCAAGTTTTGAAGGTGGTTGAGATTGTGGAGGAGGAGGCTGTGTAGGGGCTATCCCAGCAGGTCTAAATGCAGGTCGCTGAATGGGAATGGCTGTCGATGGCTGTAAGGGTGCTCGGGAGGGTTCGGTTGTGGGACGAGGGCGTTGTGGTTGAGTGGCCAACCAAGGAAGGCGAAAGCGGAATGGTTGTCTTTGTTCTGACATGAATGATGTTTAATATGATTTGGTATGATATACAATCCTTGAAGGGTATGGTTCGAATTGGGAAGTTGATGTTTTTGTCACATTTCGATTATTGATTCATTGGTGTGTGTATATATAAACATTCTATTGATACCTTGGAAACTTTTTGGGACTTTTTGCATTAGGCTTTTACCATTGAACTTTCACCGTATACCTTACTTCGATGCTATTTTAGAGAACAAAGAAAGATTGAATTCCCTATGGACATCTCTTTCTTCGTTTGCGGGACTAGCATCCCATTGCTGTTCCTTTCATTTTAGTTACACGAGAAAGCAAGCAATGCTTGCTGTCCAAGATCCATTTCCCTTCCACGAGGGCTTTTCTTTCCTTTATGTTAGCCTTTTTGTTGTTGAAATGAAAGTTAGAATATAGAATCATTAGCCTTTTATCTTTTTTTTTTTTTAAATTTTAATTTTCATCAACTTGTGATTAGAACTTGGAAGCTAGGATAATCTGCCAGAGGATTCAAACATAATAAAATGAGGAGCATTAACGTGAGCTTGCTCTTGCACATTATGCATGAAAGAGGTCTCTTGACAAGTTACGAAAAATTAAATAATCTTTTATATTAAATAGAAAGCTTTCTTCATTCACCCATTCAATAAAAGAATTAAACAAAATGATGTTCCCAAGTAACAGATGAAGAAAAGAGATTCTGTTGCTCTATTAAATTCTAAAAAAAAAAAAAAAATCGCTCGAACCTTCGACTTTGTGATTAACAGCCACACGCTCTAACCAACTGAGCTACTCCAGCAGCTGATAGAATTGGGCTAAAATATATGAAACCATAAGCAACGCAACGCCAATGAATTCTAAACCCGAAAAAAAAAAAAAAAAAAAAACAAAAACACTGATGCAACAATCACTTTTTCATCAACAGAGGAAGAGGAGATTGACCTGAAAAAACTAGGGAGAGGACAAGACCGGTACGAGTTTAAAAGGTAATATCTTAGATTTTCTCTATTTGGCTGGAAGATTAAAAGTAATGCTTCCCGTGTTCATCAAAGCAAACAGAAAATCGTTATGTACAAAGTTTCGAAAATAACTATATGAATTTTAAGTTACAAAACTAAAATCGAATGAAACTCGCTAACATTCAAAACTAACACGACTAATTCATCAAAACCACTAATACTAAACCTACAAAAGCTTTCTGCACAGCTCACGCTTCATGAATCAGAGGTCTTCCGCCGTCAAAACACCGTTATCGCCGTTTGGAAAAAATTGATGCTTCCCTTCCAAGAAACCAAACTGCTTTTGAAGACGGCTTCTTTCCTTTAGACTGCCATGAAGTGTCCAAATCCAAACGAGCATTGGGAGTTGAAGATTTTGAAGCAGTACCACATGTATTGTGCCCCAGGAGCTGGAGTAATTCTATGGCAATTGATCTTACCCTGGAATTTCCATTCATAGATATGTGGACTAAAGATTCAACGGTGCTTTCTGTCATAACCAGTTGACAATAATCGGCACCACCATGGCATAGGGAAAGTAGGACGTCCAGTGCATGTTCCTGTTCATCCGTACATTCTAGAAGTTTCCCAATGGCAACAATGCAGTCACTGTTTTCAGCAACTGCGATCCTGGCCTCCTCAATGCTGCATAAGTTGTTCATAATTTCGATGGAATACCGCGCAAGAGCGCTGTCACCCAAAAATCGAACCAGATTTGGGACGTAATCCAAATATACCATATGGTATCCAATATTACTGTTGATGGACAGATTACAGAGTATTTTCAGAGCAAGAATGTGAAGTTGTCTGATCGGAGTTTCAAGGACTCTTGATATGGAAGGGAGAACACCCGCGGCCAACATCTTAGACATACAGTGTTGCTCATAAGACAAAATTTCTAAGATCTCAAGGGCTTTTTCAGTTATCTCTGAATCCAAAAGTGATGTCAGGACGTAAATACCGTCTTCTTGAAAAGGTAGCATTTCATTTCTGCAAGAAACACCATGATGTCGACTAGAATAAGATATATAGCTACTAATGAAAAACAATGCGAGTAAATAAACAAGCAATATCAAAATAAAAAAAGAAAAAAGAAAACGTAATTTTAGTTCTTGGTGATATGGAGAATTCTATTTCTGCTTTTGCAAAAACTTATCTAATCCCCCGTTTTTTCATGATTCTTTCTGGTTTTTCCCAGTAAACAACATCCACAACTTGTGGTCATTTTTCACCAAGGTTTACTAGTGTATAAATTATCATTGTATGCGTGTATATTTAAAAAACTTGCACGCTAAAATCACCTAAAAGAACAATAATACCAGTCACGGACTTGATCGTTGATCTTCATCATAGTTGATCAGTCCTTAACGATTCAAAACTACAAGCTAAAATCACCATAAAACAATAACATCGGGAAGAGATTATAACCTGTTTTTACTAAAAATAGCCAAAAGAGCCTCTGCTCCTTCTCTCTGTGCTTTTACATCACTCAATTTACTTGCATCTTTCGTAAATTTGATCAATGAATCTACATAATCATAAGAATTCGCCGAAAGATCTGCTTGGTCTCTGCCTTCCAATTGGGTTTTCACATCTTCCACAGCCTTACATTGAGATTCCCATGAAAGTTCTGCAAAATTGAGAACACCTAAAGTCTTGTCATGACTTTGTGCAGAATTTTGAGACTCTTCATTAATCTGAACAATCCCATTCTTTAACTCGTTTTCGTTGTTTTCCGATAAATGTGACCCACAAGTGGTGTTAGACGAGCAAATTGACACACTGCTAACTTGAAGGTGCAAGTCATCCATATAACTGCGAAAGCTGGGGATAGAACTGGAACATGAAGTTCTTGACCTGGAAAGTGAAGCGGGAAATGATTGCAAACACGGGTCAGAAACAGTGAATTCATGCTTCAGACACCACTTTGCAATGATGCTCTTCATTGCAGAATTTGGAGTCAGAGACAAATGGTCCAACTTCTTGTGAGTTACTGGGCATGTCTCATTGCCGTCATTAAACCACCTCTCTATCCAAATTCGTTCAAATGTCCTCCCCGAGTCAATAATCACAGGATCATACATCAACCTCATAGAGATGGGACATTTGAATTCATCAGGAGGTTCAGATGAATCACAGTCATCAATAAACTCACGACGCGGCGCTTCTTGGGTGCTATTGCCTTGGCATTGCCAGATCATATTTCCATATTTCCTCAAAAGAAAGAGGAGATACTTTAATATTTTTTTCTTTCTTGAAGCAGTATCATTGATATTATCAAGCAACCTATTGATAGTTCTTTTCTCTATCAAGACAGCCAAAGGAGATGTAATGCCGAGCTTTAAAGCTGCAAGTTGAAGAGCCTCTAGTTCTTTGTTGTTCTCGGTTCTTGTTGCAGTTATGTCCTTCCGAATCAGTGCTAGTACAGCTTTCCCAGCCTCTTTGTCAGCAGAATCAAGAAGAAAGTTTGCATTTCTGAGGTCATGAATGATTCCGGATATCTGCAGACATGGTATTGTTTTCAATTTCAGTAGGGAGTGATGAGATGGAAAAATCTATAATGCCAAAGATCAGTTTATATTAAAGATACAGTATTGAATAAGTCTACCCGAAACAAAAGCAATTAATCTCAAAAATCAATAGCCAAAGCAACCAGATGACAGTGATTTCAGATCAGCAATGACTTCAGATAAAACTGACCCTAAAAGAGCAATTAACTATTGATTTATAATTACTCTAGTGATATGAAGCAATACCAACCTTTGCCGCCAACAGTAGTGGAACCATATTTTGAATTTGACGTAAACATGAGTCCAAATTGTCACGTAACCGTTCACATCGCATGAGTATCTTTTCTCCTGTGATTGCCTGGACTCCAATGAACACACACATTTTCTGTTCAAAATATGATATAACATAGAAATATTACATCGACCAGTAGAAAATAATGGCATACTCATAGACGCATCAAGTGTAGGGA